GAGGTAATTTATTGTACCATAACACAATTGGAAAATAGTTTGATTTTGCGGATCATACTACCCTTTCATTGTGTGTACAGATTATACAAGAGTGAGTGTATGAGCTTTGAAAAATATGTGGTAATTTTGTAAATAATTAAAGGGACACTATAGGCATTAAGACAACATTATCTTAATGAAGCAGGTTTGGTGTATAGATCATTCCCCTGAAGTTTTACTGCTCATTTTTCTAGCATTAAGGAGTTAAATCACATATGTTTCTGTTTATACATCCCTAGCTACACCTCCCCTTCTGTGATTGACATAGCCTGTATGAAAACAAAATAGGTTAATTTTTATCTCCTGCTCTGTAAATTAAATTTAATCATCAGCACACGAGGCTCCTGCAGGGACTATAAGGCTATTAACAGTGCAGGACATATTAAATTCTAAATTAAACAGAATGTGCAATAATGAAATGGATATGGTACCAGTTGTGTCCCTGTAAGGAAATAAAATGAGATGCCAGAAATGGAGACAGATTGATTTGTTCGGTATGACGTTAGCCACAGTGACCTATATATATTGAAGAGGAGTTGCAGAAAGATTGTGAGATCAAAGTCTAAGGTCTTTAAAAACATATTTGTATCTACATTTTATAATGCTCCAAATATTGCTAAATATTTTCAAAATATACAGAGGGAGTTGTGCATAATATTAACATAAAGCTAATTATATAAAATGTCTACTTTACTCAACTGTTAGGTCATCCAGCTTCCCTACACCTCCTCTAATGTTTGCCAGATGATCAAATGAATTTGAAATCCAATGGACTAAACTCACTAAGCCAATTACAACTGGTCACTAGAATTGAAAATGCCCTTTATGTAAAACACATCCTTTTTATCAAAGTGCACGGCCTTGAAAGCAAGGTTATATCCATGATGCAAAACAAAATAGAAAAGAAAAAAATGATAAAAGGGTTGTTTGGTGTAAGGGGTAAGACATGCACAGGAAAAAACAAATAGATGTGCTAAAAATAAATGGGGAATCGACACAAATTTATAAAATGTAAAACTATATGACAGTTATGCCTATTCCTTAGAATTTATTCGAATGAATAATGATGGTAAACAAAGATAAAATCTATACCTGACACTGATGGCTAATTGTTTCTGGGTGATCCTTTTATTATGTTGAAAATCTCTCTTTTATTTTAGATCAGAAATTTACTTTAAACACCACTCACGTTCCAATTCAAACCTAAATGTTTTTTGAGGTACTTAAATTGTTTTCTGATTCCTCAGTGAATGACTTACAAAGGAAAATTGACTTTAAATGTGTTTTATAGGCTTCAAATATTAATGAAGGAGAAGGTAAAGGTGCAACTGCTGTTAGGGGATAAGGGGGTAAGTGCTGCACTACATATTGATTTGTTATTCAAAAGGGAACACTTTCTATAAGACTTGAGAATGAAATATACACAGAGGACTGAAGAACCCAGAAGGAAGACCAAAAGAAAGAGAATTTACTATGAAAGTGACTCTAGCAGTTGACTTCTTAAGATATATACTATAAAGAAATACCATAGTCAGCAAATCCAAACTGCAGATGTTTCGAATTCTGTTAAGTGTAGAATAGCAGAATATTGCGATTGCTAATGGCTGCAGTAACGCTTCTGCAAAACGAGAGAAGGAGGAAATTAATAAATATAACACGTTAACCTTTGACATTCTTTTCTCTTTATATGCTTGCTAAAACAAATAGGACCCTCAATCTCTTTGTTCCTGTGTGTCCAACTTGTCTGGTTACAGATATGTGTCTGTTAGTCCACCCATTGTACAGCGCTACGAAACGTGTTGGCGGTTTATAAATAATAATAATAATGGACCTGATTTGGTAATCCTAATTTGGATACACACAAATATATCACTGAGCAAAAGGCCTGCTAGAATATTTTTAATCCTACTATGGAATGCACACTTTCGATTTTTACTATATTCTTATGCTGTGCACATACTACAGTAAATTTATTTTGATTGAGACATTGTTTTTAGGATCATTTCCAGTACTCAATTGCAGCAATGTTACTGGAAAAATCACATTTTCTGGTATACCAGTGGCACCTGCTTGATAACAAAATGTTTAATGGACAATCTTGCCAAAAGAGCCTTAGCATTAAGTACACCTAGCAATATATCTTCCACACTGCGGAGGACTTCAAGAACCATACATCAGTACGAGTATCTGCAGTAACCATTTCAACACGGAAGTGATTATTAATTAAAAAAATATATACCAATAAAAGTGTGTAAAGATGCCTCAGTTTTTAGGAGCATATAAATGCATATAGCATGGAGATTTACATTTAGATCTCTTTTGAACATAAAGCATATAGTTTAATTTTTTACTCTTAATAATATTATGTGTAACTGTATTTATAAAGTGTCAACATGTTTTGTAACTGTACAATGGGGAAATTAGACAAAACAATATAGACAAACCAATACAAAAGGAATAATGCTGACACTCCCGGCCTATGAATACATGAGTTGATATCACAATGCGGAAGTACGAGCCTGAAGTAGTGACCCTCTTAATTAAGATATGTGCTGTCAGTCCTAGATTTAATGCCCTTTGATCTACCTTCTATTGTAGGATGGAGATGTCTGTAAGCAGAGTTACTTGTAATACAGTAGAAGCAAATATATTATATTTTTTGTCTTACAAATGCTAGTAGTGCCATTCTTGTTTATAGTGAGAGCATTAGGAATATGCCAGCTGTACATCTAAAAATTTTTAGCATGTGTAAGAGACTGAGCAAGGAAAGGGCCGTGCTGTTGCTAGCTCTACAAAAACTGGATTGATATTTTCCAGCTAACATTTAAATTTGTAAAACATTATGGCGGACATTCTCACACCTTTTTCCAATTAAATTTTTTTTGATATTTTTTAAAGTACATTGTACCAATATACATATGTCTAGTATATCAAATTACAAAAAAAGAAATAGTAACATTAGTAAAAGAAGAGAAATAAAAATAGGTATGTAATGAAAAAGAAACTAAATACAAGCAAAGAATAATCTTTTGAATACACTCTTGTTGAGTTACACAATGTGTTAACCTGTCTCTAACCTATTTTGACAAAATACCATGTTTATTTCATAATAAATTGATTTGTATAAACATTTCATTTAGACCAATTCAGTCTCACATTCTGAACAGAATATTCTTTTTTTTATATTATATAATTGTAGCAGACAGGGGAAAATTAATAATTTCAAAGAAAAGATAACTGCAGCTGAACAAACTAAGGAAAAAAAGAAATAAATTTGTCACCGCTTAGTTTTTAAATACCTCTTCCTTGAAATGCAAAGTACTAAATATTAATTAGTTTTCTTGTTTACTTGGAGAGTAGTGTGAAATGGATGCCTAGCAATTAGAAGTGAGTTTTAATTTTTCATTAATTTTAATTAATGTTGACTCAAGTTTCATTAACATTTCTTCTGCTGACTAGGGAGTTTTTTTTAGAATATTTGAATGGGTAAGTAACTATTGAAACACTCTTCTAAAAGGAATAGAGCTTTCAAAGCTTGCTCTCTAAATTATCTATGTACACTTTTCTGCCATCAAAGTATTTTTGTGAAAACACAAGAAAAAATAAAACTGTAATAGTTTCTTTTCATATACTAATCATCATGCATAAATATCCAGCTAGTACCATGGCTGCAATTAAAAGAGCAAGATATGCCCTTACCACAGCAAGTGGAATAAAAATAATCGCACAAATAGGAACTAAGGGAGAAATATTTTAATAATGATCACTTCTCTTTTTCTTTTCTTATTGGTGATCTGCTGAAAAATCAAAGAGCTAATATAATTACAAAACAATATACTTAACACAAGGGCACATACAACATACATCGTATCTCAATAAATAGTATATTAATCACTTCCATCTTTGCAAACAAAATCTAGATTTAAAAAAAAAAATCACCTATGTTCTCTTTTGCTCTAATGCATTCATTCAGCTGAGATTTTTTTTTTTTTATGGAACTCCATTAAATCCATCTGCATTTAAACTGTAAAGCCTACAAATCCTCTTCTCCCTTACTGTGCAGGAGTTCTAAAAGCTGACAAGTGTCAGGGCTGCTTTCTAACAGCTGAGAATGGGGACTGTCTTTGGGTACACTGTGAAGCTTATGCATGGTGGGCCAACATTCAGGATAGGGGTGGAGTAGCCAATACAATTTTTCTTAATGAACCAATTTCAATGATATTACATACAATGAATGCTCAACTTATGGTAAATTGTTTGACTAGTTATGAAAGATGACATCTTGTAAATGAGCTCTGCTTGCCGCCTTGCAAAGTTTGGCTCTTTTGGTTGCTATGTTCATAACATTAGTTAATGTTATGAGGCACTAGCACTCAAATGTTTGCCCTATTACTTCATTTGAGGTCACCCCGCACCAAGCAGTGAAATAAGTAGGATGCAATTGGCGCTGATTAATTAGCCGTGGAAATGATTCATATTGCAATATTAGGAATATTCTTCTTTTATTTTTTTTTATTCTTTATTTTTGGAGTGCAGTGTCAGATACATGCGTAAGTAATGACATATGACAAGTGACATAAAGTATAACAACGAATTAGGAATATAGGAAGTTTCTATGCTTTTTTTTTTTCGTCAGAAGTAAGCAGACTTAACATTCTCATCTAGGTACTTAACACCATCAAGGTAACATCTATAGTAAATTACTAGACATAGTGAGAGGTAAGCAGAGACATGTCTTGAGTATCAGACTAGTTAAGACAATAGTATATCAACTGGCTATGCCGCATAATGAACTATGTAGTCAAATCATAAAATGAAAACCACCAGTACTGTACTCCCTCATTTAGGATATTAGAGCTGGAAACTAAAAATAAAAGTCAAACTTAAAAAATAGGGTCATTGCATTTAGTTCTGTTTAGGGGACAGCCAGGTGCACGGAGATACCAGATAGTATACTGGAGTCATTTAAGAGAGACCGGCAATCTGCCCGTGTAGCCCAGACCGTTTTCAGCCAATTCCGCGGCCCGGGGTCTCAGGGAAGTAACTGTAAAGAGCTGGATTGACCCGATCCCAGGCAGGTGAAGGCAGCTGAGGGAAGTTGCACGCTGAGGGCAATGTGAGGCCCATCTCCTGCTCTGACAGTGACTGTCATCCTCATAACGTGGACTCGGCTTCGAGAGTCCCTCCCAGATTGGAAGCCTCGGATGGCCCGGGAGTCCCACCGCCGGCGTGTGATCTTGCAGCGAGGTGGTTGGTACAGTGGAGGTAGACCCATGGTAGCCTTCGGTCTAAGCAGGCAGGCAACAGAGGTAATTGGCACTGGGGAAAAGGCTGTACCCAAGGGTTGTCTGCTCCACTCCGCTCTTCGATGCCCACGTACCTCAATCCGAGGCTGATGTGGAGTCGGGACCATGCGCTTCTCCAATTCTGCCCACAAGCATTGAAAAATTGTGTCTAAGTGAGAGACTACTCCACCTAGCAAGTGTAAACTCTGCTGGATTGCACAGGAGGGTTGTTTGCAATGAGTGGCACGTCCGCCATTTTGTGAGACCCTTGTCTCTGATATTTATGCTCGACAAGAAGCAAGAGAGGTAAGGGCTTTCAGCTAGTGGGGACCAGGATGACCCCCACCAGTTCACAGTGGGGTAAACGGGACACCAAAAAGTCCTCAGGGTATTTGTGGGGCCTATACCGGGAGATCGGCCGCCTCTCCTGGGCACAGGCCTCTAGTCGTGCTAGGCCGCAGGACCTCTTGAATCAAACACCCCTAAGGGTGGTAATCTGTCTATGGGGTATAACAGGCTATGCAGAGGTTGTTCTGCTGCCGTTTGTAGTTGGTTGCTGAGGATTTCTTGGGGTATTTTCCATTAAATTTGCTCAATAACTCCGGAGTTACTGAGAACTGCATCCATCTATCTTAGGTGTCAGACCCTGCCCCCTATTTTACATAACATATTGACCCTTAAACTTTCTGTAAAGTGGTAGATGATGAAAATATTATAGAACAGTTAGTTTCACAAGTACATATTTTCACACCAGTCTCATACATAATACAGTGGTATTTTAAATATATTTCATATTTTAATATAATATTTGAGAATGCTATTTCTACACTCCTTGAGCTTTAAACATATTACTTTCCAATATGTAACTATATTGTAACCAAAACATTAATGGTTAAAGGTAATCGTAAAATACTATTTATTAAAGATACAATTTGACTTTGAATAGCAGGTGACATTATTTTTACTTTTCAAGTAGTCAGATGGGCGCAGTAAAATCTCTCTAAAGCATCTGTTGTTTAATGAATCACATTTATATCCTAGACCTTGTCAAATAAAGCAATGTTTAAAGATAAATGAAGTGAAGTTCATGTAAGGAAAACAAAGAAAATAAATGTAATTAAAACATAATACAAATGCAATGCTTCTATACTGTCATGGAGAACAAAAAAGAAAATACTATTGATGTTTACAGTAAAAAGGAGCTAGATAATTAAGGCATCAGATCCTGTGATATGTGTTCTATCTCACTCCACATGTAACATGCAACTATTATGTACATTAATGCATCAGCTCACTGCTACTCAGAATATCGACATCACAATAAGTTAAATCTCCACTATATCTAACTAATGGAGGGGTATGCAGAAAGTTCTGTTCCCAAGCAACCTCTTCTTGCATAACACGATACTACAGATTTTCTCTGTTATTCTTTTTATAATGTAGCTGCTTTGAGTAAAATACACTTTAATAAATAATAAAATAATACATGATAATTTAAAAAAGCAAAAGAAAAAAACAAAAAACTAAATAAAAACATACACTATTATCCACTTGCAGCACATCTCGTCCAGTTCACGGCTGGAACTGCAACTAGAGGATTGTACTCACTACCCAGCAGATCATGATTGTTGGACTAACTTCAACTTTCCTGATCCTCTATGCTTGCACTGATATTAAGCTGTTCAGGCTCCCTTGGTATGCCCTGAAGGCACTGTGTTAGGGTGGATTCCCCCGACTGTTCCCTGGTACTGACTAACACACTGAGGCCTGCTATGTTATACTCTGAAAGTGGCTATTGGGTGACCCCTAATTTGTATGCTGGGTAAACCCCAGCCTATCACTATCTCTGTAAGGCACTGCATTCTATGTGTTTCAGTTGTTGCTGACTATGGCTGATGAATCTGAATTCTCTGTGCCTGAGGACCTCCAGCCCTGGCTGTACTCCACTCTTTTGGATTCTCTTTCATGGGCACTGGCAGCCCTTCAAAGGACACACCTCCCTTTATCCTAGCACAGGCTGTACCCAGCACCCCTGGACCCAGGGGTTTGCCTGTGATGGCTCCCTGCACACCATTGAGACAAGCTCAACATTAAAACTCTAACAAGGGAAAGGCTCTCTCCAAGTAAGCAAGATTAGACTCAGAACTGGCCAGTCATGCCGGTACAGGATGAGTACTATGCTGGAAGCTGATTCCGGCACTGATTCCCCTGGTGGCGGGTTGATTCTCGACCTTCGAGGTTCACACTTTGCGAAGGAGATGGTGATTGGTCGCTCTCATGTGGATTATCTACAGTTCCACTTGCTTCAAAGGATGATCCTGTGGAGATTCTGAAACCGGCTAGCCAAACTCTCTTTGACCCTCTCTGGTTAAAGCACTCATGTACTTCTGATTGGGCTCCACCTGGCCACATTGTAGTGTTATTTTGCTACTGGCTTTGTCACCCACTGGATAAGGACAACAGAGTCAAGCTGCAGGCTGAGTGTCCCAGGCTTACTCTACCGGATAAGATCACCTTTACACCCAACTTTGACCCAGTGCAACCTATCTGACCAGTTCTGGGAAGGATTTGCTGAATGGCCTTGAACAATGACTGAACACAATGATACTTCGGTCTACACAGGATAAGCTGCTAGATATTAGCGACCCGCTAACACAAATAACTGTTAAGGCAGACAAAGCCCTTAATGGTGGTACTCCGGTACCATCTTCTTCAGAAATGGGAGCAATGGGCCATTTGATTCCTGGGCTTTGCAAACTCCATGTCCCCTGAACAAAACAGAGCAGCCCTGTATAAGCTGGACACAAAGCTTGTGGACCTGGTGATGAAGAAACTGGGCCCAGTCGCAAAAGGATCTCTTCTTCAGGGAAATGTTAAACAGCTACACATCAATCAACAAGGCTCAGCTCTCACTCAAGAAAGTGTTACGGTCGACTGTCCATTTTTACTCCAGGGCTGGTCAGCAGGAAGGTCATGCCACCAACAAAGAAGCCTTCTGAGGCACGAGGCCCCGCCTTTTGGAGTCCTTCTCATTATCATCCTCCTGCTACCAACACCGCCCATTGTTCCACAAAGGTTCCTACTGAGACCATGATATATCATTCTCCCGGGTTAGAAACACACTCTTCTTCACATTTACCTTTTGCGGGCAGGCTGTCTCACTTTTCTTGGTTTTAGAAAAGTTTGATGTTTTTGATAAGGTAAAAAAGTAATATTTTTAAAGTATATACTAAAAGAACCCTTTCCCCATATGGGTATACAAAAGACAAGAATTGTACTATATTTGGCTGTGTTACATTTTATTAATGGAGATCAAATTGTTTCAGGAAACTATATAATATGTAACTAATTCCTGCATTATACAATTGTACCCCTTTTTTACATGTAAAAATACCGGTCTGACAATTCTAATGAGAAAAGAACCGCTGAACCGCATAATGGAACACACGGAAATGACGTATCGGCAAAACCGGAAATGACGTGACGCAACACAAACCCGGAAGTAAACGGAGAAAGGAAGGCTTGGAACGCAGGGTGTCACCGTCTCTATGGTGATTGCCCGCGAAGATACAAGCTGGACATCAATTATCCACCCCTTAGAGGGGTACATATAGCAGGGGGAATCCAGGAGAAACTTCAATCACTACATCCAGCTGAAGACGCCTGTATAGGTGAAACGCGTCCTGGAAAAAGACTGTGAGACTCTGGACTTTTGGATTTTTTATGCCAATTAATTTATTGCCTTGATTTTTATATATATATATATATATATTTTTATACTGTTACAATTTATAATAAAATACTATATATTTTTTATATCATTGGCATTATCCCTGCTATTTCTAAAGAAGGCGTGTGGTCCTTAACCACACAAGCTCCTAGACTAGAGCCAATGTGGAAGGCTCTAAGTTTGTAAGTACCCCATTCGTATTTGCTATTTACACATAAAATCAACGATACTGCACCATATTCGTTTCTCTTCATTCCTATAGAACATAAAGAAGTACCTGCGCACAAGAAGGGTGAGGGTCGCCTTTACGGACCTCAAGAGCGATAATATTGAGCTATTACATATTAGCTCCAAAAAGTGTGAGTTGGGACTTTATCCCTTCTTCTTAAATTCTTTGATCTTACTATACAGTATACACTATGTTTGGTCTGTTTGTTTTTTATATTTTCTAGAAACTAAAATACTGGGAAGACTATTTAAAGATATTTGAGGTATTGTCCTTTACATACTCTGCTCATTTGAAATTGTCACCATTATATGAACCAAAAAATATGGTGCTACACCTACCCAGTTTCCTTTTTTCCAGGCTGTCTCACTTTTCCGAACAGTGGTAAGCTCTTACCTTGGACCTCTAGGTGCTGTTTCTGGCTTCTGGATCGATTTCCTGTCATATCAGGTGCAGTCACCTCCGTCTTCACAGCTGTGGTGGAAAAAGGAATCATCAATGCTGTGAAATGGAATCATCCACGTGAGGAGTGTCACTCTTCAGAGGAAAGGTGTGATATAACAGGTCTACCCTCATTTCTGAGAAACATCTCCCTTACCTGGAAGAAGATGGGGGCTTCTGTCTGGTGATACATTTTTGTGCTCTCAGTGTGTACATGGTGTATCACCATTTCAAGATAGAGGGCATCCATCTTCTCAGAGACTTGCCCTGCGGGTTTGGCTCCATGGTGTATTACCAAACTGCTGACGATGGTCATGGCATCTCAGTCGATTGTTTACCTGGACAACATCCTTTTGATGTCACAGGATCCGACCTTCCTGCAAGAACATCTGAACCTCACGGTCCATCTCCTCCAGACCCTTGGTTTCATTATAAATCAGCACTGACACTGTCTTAGTCGGTCCAATTCCTGGGTTTAACAGTGGAATCTTTGCAAGCGTTTTTACATCTCCCATCT